GGCTTGCTCAGCAGTGCCTTTCTCATCCTCCATCAGCCATAAACTAACTTCAGGAGCACTTGTCCGGTGGAAAGGCCCTCTGCAGTAAGTGGGACATGAAATCCTCCGCAGGAAGATGCTGGAGACCCAGGGACCAAAGGGAGAGGTTGCTCTGGGGCAGGGGTCCTGGTACCTCTGTTTCTGCAAGAGGCTGCGGTTAACAGGGATGTGCCAAAATCGGTATTTGCCAGTTTACCTCATCTCCTGCCAATTGGCCAAACAGTGAGTGGAAATCGAGTTGCCAGAAACTGGCATTATTTTCTACCAAAGCTCACCTCTGTTGAGCAAGAGGCCTTGTGTACACAAGGTCCCTCTGAAGGGGCATGGACCTCTGTAATGATAAGGTGGTATCTCACTGTGAGCTAAAATACGTGGCCATGTCATACGCTCCATATCAGGTGGTGTGAATGTGGACGCTGGTGTTATAACAGCTTCTGTCCTGAAAGCTACTAAACACCTAGCTGGTTGTTTCCGTACAGAGAAGTGATGGTGACTTGCTGTGTTGCAAGGCAGCTACATCATTATAATTTTGGTCAGTTCCCCAAGTATTCTAAATGCCTGACATCAAAGCAACGACATCCAGCTAATTGATTTCTGTGTAGGTAGTAATTGTACCTAGTTACAGAAGGAGGACTCTACTCCCTGGACTCAGGTACCTCAAAGAGGTGCATTTGCATCTTGCCCTAAATCCAAGCGTTACTGTTACTGATAACCACGGTGGTGACAGGACCCTTCTGCCCTGGCGCTGCACAAGCTGGGATGGTGGAGCTGGAAAACACTCCTGCGTTTTAGTAGCGTGAGTCATTTCAAAGTACTGTGAAGAGCAAGGAACGCCACATCCCCTCCAAATCAAATGGACAAATGCAATATTTGAAATCTGGCAAGCCGAATGTCCTGATAGAAACAAGGTCTGACTCTGGATTTTCCCTGTGTGCTGTGTTTTCAGCAAACTGCAGCATAGTAGCGGTCTTAAGATGGTTGCAGAGTTTGGCAACACACAACTCCAGATAACAAAATACTCTAAAATCATTTATCATGGCCTTCAGAGAAGAAACTGTGGGTAGTGTATTCATCTTGCACCAAGAAGGCAGGAATCTGGCAAAGACGTCTTGCTGTTCCTTCTGAGTTTGGTGTACTGTGTCTAAATAGTATGATGTGAGAATCTATTAAATACTTAAAAGATAAGTCTTGAGGAATTATTACAGATCTCTTACAGACTTAATTCTTCTTGAATTAGGTTTGTTTATGCATCCGTTACACTGTTGAAAGCTGCCGAATAGACTTGTGTAGGGCTTGTGCAGCAGTTCTTGGGTGTTACTAACTAAAATTATACCAGTTCCTCTATTGACGTTCTAAATTGTAAATTCTCCTCTGAAGAGAGGTCTGAGCTAATTTGTAAAACTTGAATGTGAGTTAGACTGTGTTACTGTTTTCTTCAGAACAATATGTATATGACATTATTGTTCATATATATATCTATATACACAGTATTAGAATTTCATAACACTCTACTGATATGGTGCTCAGTGTGCACACTGTGTTCAAAATGGCAGTGTGCTTCCAGAAAGATGCTGATAGTTTGAAAATAATTTGAAAAAAAACCCAAAATAAGACGTGATTTTCAGTCTAGTCAGGAAAAAAACCAAAAACCAACGAAACCCAAAGATCTGGGACTGGTTAGTCTATAGCAGAGGAAAACTGAAAGAGAGAGGTCTTTGAATATGCAACAGGTTGCTGCTGAAGGAAAGGGAATGTGCGCTGTCCGTGTCCCACAAAGTGAAACAGCAGGTGGAGAACTAGAACTGGAAGGAGGAACCAGGCAGGAAAAGGTGCCATGCACTGGAGTTGCACCAAGTAGTCAAACTCTCGCTTTTTTTGAAGTTGCATCCCCCACAGTTTGGAGGCCCACTGTGTTTTCTGTACGGCCAGTTAGTTATCTAGGCCATCTGGCTTAGTAGCTAAGGCTGTCTGTGCTAGATAAACTGACACATTTTGGAAAAGCCTCCGTATGTGCTGCAGGCTTGTGACCAGTGTCCTTTTGAATTACTCTCATTCCAGCCCATGAAGTGTTTCCCTGGGAATGCTGTCAGGATATCATCATCCCCCATTGGCTGCTGGCTGAGTTCCTGCTGTGCGTTTGGCACTCAGCAGCTTGCAGTCTTGCCCAGGAAAAGCTGATGCAAATAGGAAAGCCTTAAGTAGGCATCAGTGCAAACTTTGGGCATGATCACCCCAAGCCACCCCTGGTGGGTTTGGCTGTGCGGGATGCTGGGGGGCGAGGGGGGAGCTGGTATCCCTCCTGTGCTTCTTGTGGGCTGGGAGACAGTGTAATTCTTTGTCATTACACCTGGGAGATGGGCTTGGAAGAGTTTAACTTGTCTCCTTCCCCTTGCTGTCCTCTGCCTTTTTTCTTTTCTTTTCTTTTCTTTTCTTTTCTTTTCTTTTCTTTTCTTTTCTTTTCTTTTCTTTTCTTTTCTTTTCTTTTCTTTTCTTTTCTTTTCTTTTCTTTTCTTTTCTTTTCTTTTCTTTTCTTTTCTTTTCTTTTCTTTTCTTTTCTTTTCTTTTCTTTTCTTTTCTTTTCTTTTCTTTTCTTTTCTTTTCTTTTCTTTTCTTTTCTTTTCTTTTCTTTTCTTTTCTTTTCTTTTCTTTTCTTTTCTTTTCTTTTCTTTTCTTTTCTTTTCTTTTCTTTTCTTTTCTTTTCTTTTCTTTTCTTTTCTTTTCTTTTCTTTTCTTTTCTTTTCTTTTCTTTTCTTTTCTTTTCTTTTCTTTTCTTTTCTTTTCTTTTCTTTTCTTTTCTTTTCTTTTCTTTTCTTTTCTTTTTTTGCTTTTCTCTCCTTCTTTCTCTTCCCTTCCCTTCCCTTCCCTTCCCTTCCCTTCCCTTCCCTTCCCTTCCCTCTTTTTTTTTCTGGCCTTATGTTAACAACCTGTGTCCATGATACAGTGTTGAATCAACTTACAATTCGTAATTAAGTGAGTAAAACATGCAGGACTGTCACACTATACAGTGCTCAGCTGTATCACATATTTTTCATACCACAGACTGATACCACTGTTCAGTTTATGTTTATGCCTAAAACTATAACATAAACATAGCTAGGTATTGCTGTGGAATCCTGGCATTCAGAATTCCCTGTGGTTGAAGCAAGTACAGCCTCAACATGTGTGTATTGTAGGCATGCAAAGGAGTAACTATGTTGGTTTAAATGGTTTCTTTTGGGAATAAAAAAAAAAAAAAGAAAAGAAATATTCTAGTACATTAGCCTGACATTTTCACACAGAAACACAACATTTTCTTACGGCACTGTGGACCAGCATGGTCAAACATCACAGTCCAGGTAGTGAGGTGCCTTTCATGTAGATTTGTAGAGAACTTGCAACAGAGGAGATGGAGGAATAGGAACTCACATGGAGTTACCTGTCTGTACCTGCTTGTCCAGTAAAGTATCAGCCAGAGATGGAATTTTGTGGACATTCAGGAATGAAATAAACACTGCTGAGGGATACTGCTCTAGGTGGGTACCAGGAGAAAAGAGGAGGAAGAGGATAATTGCTGAAAATTGTACTGCATGTTCTGCGTCTTCTTAGGAAGTGGGTGGTTCTGCCTTGCAACAAAGCTATCGCTACCTTTGACTGTGACTAAGAAATGAAGAAACTGCAACTGCTGGTGGCCCAGTCACAAAAGATAGCCAGTGGGATGGGGTAGAAGGTTGCCTTCTCATCTGAAGTGCTGCTTCTAAGTCCAGGGTGCTACTATATTTAGGTGGCTGAAACCTGAAGAAAGTGTGGCTGTTATTTTATCATTTGAGCTGTGGTGGGTCATGAAAGCGTGTTGCTGAAGATCATGAAGAAAGTCAGGTTCCCAAAGTTACTCAGTGTAGGAGAATGACTTAACCTGTGGATGTGTGTAACCACCACAGTGATTTTGAGCAATTGCTGTTGTCAGTTCTGGATTTTTGCTTATTCAGTATTTTATGGCTGATTTGCTGCTGCAACAAGACAGACAATAAAACTAAGATAAAACTACTCTAGGAATGTTACCTGTTTTAAAACTGGCTGTGTGCTGTTAACCCTGCTTTTTCCTCTTGCAGGAACAGACTCAATGCCTCACGGGAAGTAGCCCCAGTAACGCTCCCGAACTGCCGGCTCATTAAAGGGATCGGTACGTGCTCAGAATCACTGAGTGTATTGCTTTTGTCCAGCCTTATTTTGCATCTGCTTCTTCAAGCCAATTTCCAAGCCTGATCCTGAAAACAAAGTGCTAATTTGACTTTAAATTGCTACTTGGACTTCGAGGTAGGGAGGAACTGCAGGAAGAAAATGATACTGAAAAGCTAGATAGTTGGTATATTTCATGCCTTTGGCATTGTTTCTGTTCCTTTTCTTGAAAATGAGTACCTTGCAAACACTTCTCCGTTGCTAAGCCATTTAGGAAACTGTTTGGCTTTTAGAGGCAGGTGTGCTGGCTCTTCAGGCAGGTACCTACAGGTGGCTGTCAGCTGATGACATCTTGACTGATGACGTCTTGAAGACTGGATGTGCTGGAAGGGTGGAAGCTTTGGGAGAAGGCCACAGGCATGTGGTGAAGGAATAGCTGCAAAATGCCAGCCAAGTCCTTAGTGTCTCATTTTGCAGAGATTTAGGAGCGAGCTAATACCACGCCATGCAAACAGCAGTCAGGAGCTCGGTGTGGTTGCTCAATTCATCTGTGCAGTTTCAAAGAGCAAAGGGTCATATTTGCTATCTTTGGTTTGCAGAGTGGTTTAACAGAGTGGCTGAAATGTTGACTTTGTACTTTGGGTCATGTGTTTAGCACACAGCAATGTTTTTGTCTTTTTTTTTTTTTGCTGCCTTTAGGATAATGACAGTATAAAATGGATAGCTTTAAAATTGATTGCTTTTTTGTGTGCCTCTTTCCTCCAAATTAGAATTTTCAAGCTTAATACAGGTTTAATGGCTGGGACTTTTCTCTTCCTTAGTATTTTTGGAAATGTCTTGAATTCTGTTGAAATTTCCCTAGATTTTGCATGTGTCAAAAGTCATTGGAGGAGCCTTAAGGGCATTGCCTTTGAGCTTGCTGAGTCACTGCATTGATTTCATAAATCTCAGTTCCTCCTTATGTCAGGAATCAAAAGTCTTTCTAAAGGTAAATTACTGCCATGAATGAGTGCGCGCAGAGTTCATGTGCCTCAGGTTAAGTGCAGAAGTAGTTTAATTATATAAAACTTTCCAGGTCTTCTAGACTGAGCTGTAATTTACTTACACAAGGCTCTGAATAATGCTTGTTTGATGGTGACTAATATAAAATAATTTCTGAGTAATTCTTTTAAGCATATCACTATTGCAATCTTTACAAGACCTTTTGCAACAGGATTGCTCTGGGGAGGAAAGAAGGAAAGCTGGAAATCACACATACAGTTGTGTTTAATATCTGAACAACTATCTCAATTTTGGTGCCTGACATTTACATGGAGATTAGGTGAATTCTGAGAACCTGGCTCTGCTCCGTGGTGGCTGTGGATCAGTTTACAGAGCTTCATTTCTGCTTCTTGCTATGCTCCTGTAAGTGTCCCTTCACAGAAGAGCACCTCACCTTGGCTTTGCTCTGCTGTTTGCTGCTCTTTAGAAAAATTGGAATGCCAGAACTTAATTCAGCAGGTCCAATGTGGCAGGAATAGATATAATGAAAGATTGGTATAAATTTAGAAGTTGATATGTTCCTGCAAACATCTTCCAAAATGTGACTGTGTGGGTTTTACTACTCCAGGATACTGAGGAGCCCTAATATATAGGTGCTGCCTAGATATTAGGGCTCCTCAGTACAGCAAACCAGGGCTTTTACTGTACTTAGATCTGTAAGAGTGCTCCTGTGGGTGACTTTGTGTAAGGATATCTTTCTGCATGGACATCTTCTTCCTTTAAAATCCTATGGTAAAGTTGAATGAACAGTCCGTCTTTATTTTAGTACTTAATATAGTCCTTCTGGACACTTAAGTGGGACATAGGTAATGAGCAGGATCAGCTCTGAACAAAATTATTGTAAACTATTCATTCTGTTCATGGAAGAACAGGCATCTGGTACAGTCTGTTGTAATTATGTTAAAAGCAATGTATATGTAGTAAAGGAAAGTAACCCAGAGTGAATGGAAAAAAAATCTCTAGTGGACCATTTTTTGCACAATTTTATCCTTCATGGTTTTTTCTCTCTTTTTTTTTTTTTTTTTTTTAAGACTGTGATCTATTCAGTTTTCAAATATTGTGCAATGTAAGCACAGATGAAAACACTGAACAAACCAATAAAAAACTACAGCTTGTCCTAAACTCATTCACAGGTATGTAGAAAAGGCTATAAATGTAGAATAAACAGTGTCTTCTGAATTATATGAGTGTCTACTCATGTTACTGTTTTATAATAAACTAACCTTATGTCCTGAACTAATTCCTAAAGTTCAAGAAGCTGCTATAGAAGTTGCTAGAAATACTTGTATCTTGGAACCATTTGTGGGATATAGGTGAAACAATCACTTGCTTTTGGACATGAAATCAAAGTGATTTTGGTTTTTTTTAGATGCACCTGCAGAATATATCATACTGAGATAAAGGACAATAACAACAAAAATTTCTAGGGTAGGCAGTAATTTTTCTTGGTATCTATTTTTTTTCTTTAAATGCTGCTAGTTCAGATAATCCCATGGACAATCTGTGCTTGGTGATACAAGTAAGCAATATAGTGGAGGTAAATGATACCTAATAAATCAGTTACTATCTGTCCTGTCCCATACAGCACCTGTGACAGCAGCCCAGAGCCCTCCCCAAATGGGTCCTGCAGGAGAACACAGGAGCTTCCCAGTGGCTGGCTGCGTGTCCCCATCCTCTCCTGGCTGCCTTGGGGTGCTGGCTCAGCAGGGGCAGCTGGATCAGCATTTCACTGCTCTTCCAACAGCCCTTGCTCTCGTCTACACATACCAGGACCTGCCTGAGAACTGGCCAAAATGGGCTTTGCTGGAAAGTTTCTTTTGAAGTAGTGTGGGGCAGGGCTCTGGTTATGTGCCTTCTACCAGAAACTTGTACTTTTTAATTATCTGCTCCCAATTAGCCTGCTCATCTTTCTGCTTGGCAGCCTCCCTAATTCAGTAGCAATAAATGACTGTATCTGTTTATTCACTCATCAGCGTGCTCTGCCAGTAAAAGCTGTCTGTCCAGCTCACATCACTGTAGTAATTGAGCCTCTCAGCATTCATTTATGTTGTTATCTATGCTGCAGTCCCTGGAAGTGGGGAATTGCCACTAATCCTGTCCTACAAATGAACCCAGGCTTGGAAAGACTCAGAGCTGGGGCAAATGAAAGGAGCTTGTTGCTTAAATCAGAGCATAAGCTGAGCTGAAAAAGAAAATTTCAAAATTTTAGTTGGAAAACCCAGGCTCTAAACGTCTCTGGGCACGTAAGTGCAGGTGTCTGCCTCCTGTCTGAGTCCAGTCAAAATTCAGAACCAAAACCCTGGAGGTGGCTTCCCCCAAAATGCATCTTCAGACCTTTGGCTCTTCAGCAGGCAGGAAGAAGGGGCTAGCTGAGCTGAGGAAGAGCTGGACCTGTCTCTGTTCCCTGTCCTTCTTGGAGAAGTTGTGCCACTGCATCTCTCCAGGGCTGAGCTGAAGGTGGAGCTTGCTTGGATGGGTGAATTTGGGGATCTGGTTCCTTCTCACAATTTCAACTGCCACAGGATAAATTACAGCCCAGCTGAATTAGTGCCATGATAAATAGGCCTTACATGAGAATAAACAATAAACCCAACTCAAAGTTGCAGGCACTTTTGCAGGAGGAGATGCTGAGATGCTGGGGATAGTGTGAACCACATGGGATTACACGGGTGGTCTGTGGCCGAGTAGGAGGGAGTTTGGAGAGATGGGACAAGCCAGGTGGAAAACCTTGGTGTTGGTGGCTCTATTAAAGAAAAACCTGCAGAATAATTTCCTCCTTTAAGCAAATGCTCTGGGGTGGGTTTAATCCAGCCATCATCTGGGAAGTGGCTTGTGGGGAATGCTGTTCATGATGGTGATTTGGAGAAGAGAGGGGAGGCTTCTCAGGGTAGTAGGGAAAATGTGGGACAGCAAAAGTGCTTCAGCATCAGACCAAAAGCTCTGTGGAGGCTGCTTAATCAAAGTCTAAGATTGTGCTCTTACGAAGGGGATATTTTATTATTTTATTTTAATTTTCATAGTAGGGAAAAATATTAGAGAAACTGGAAGTACTGAAAATGATTACCCACAGTTAAATGTGGTCTGATTCTTAAAGCCCTTAGCTGTGAAAGATACAGTAGGGTCTCTGTGACTTGAGAACTTTAACTAAATATTTGTCAATCCATCTTCGTGAAGTGTCCCAACTCAGCCAGGACAATTAGTGTGTGCAATCCCCAGAGGTACCTTATGCAAGCGTGTGAGGTGAGTGGTGGGTATGGTCCTGCCCTGAAAGTCTTGTAATGTGTGCTAATTGCTTACTGCAGAGCACTATCCTCTACAGCAGGTGATCCCTCCCATGCTGTGCTGGGGCACATGGAGCTGGGTGGGAAACTGCCCAGCCGCCACCGGGACACCATTAAGCCCCTAGAAAGAGGTGAATTCCAGTACTGGTTCCTAACCTGGCATGCTGCTGACTTCTGCTACCATTTTTAATGCAATGCAAACTTTTCCACTGAACTTCATCGCTTATGCAGTTATATCAGAAGAAGACAATCGTGAGAACTGGAGCTGTACTAAAAAGGAGTTTTTTTTGATGGGAAATATTTGTCATATGAACCCCCCTGTTTATCTCTGCCTTGCAGAAACTGGTTCAGAAGACATTGACATACTTCCCAATGGACTGGCTTTCATCAGCTCTGTAAGTGCCCACACCGCTTTCCTGCTTCCTTATCTACAGAAGCCATAAGTGAAAACTACAGCATTTCCCTTTCTGTAAGGTTGACTGGCTCTGTAGGAACAGCCCAGACTTGCGTTGGCTTAGCTGGTGTTTCCTGCTGCTTGAGCAAGTGCATTTCTTGACACTGAAGTGGTGATGGTGGCTCAGACACATGGCCTAGTGCTCTGGCTTAGCTGCCCACATAACCTTGAATTTCTTTCATATTTCTTCCTTGAAACGTTGACATGCCAAACCTTTCCCTTATTAAGAAGGTGTGTTAACTCCCTACTTTTCAAAAACCATCAGATTTTGTGTGATTTTGTTGTTCCTGATACTTTTTTTACCCTTTTAGACATAAGCTTTCAAGGTTTTCTTTGCCTAGTGATCATTTTCAAAACCAGAGGTGGATGTTTTCATCTGTGTGCTCCAGGGAGACCCTGGGAATGATAATGTTGCAAAATTCATGCCAGAAGTTGTGAGCTGCCACGCTGCTGCTGTTCCTCGTGGCCTGACACTGGATTCAGTCAGTATACCTCCAGTTTGCCCTCCCCCCCCGATGTCTGTTAGCAGAGTGGTTTGACACACAGGGAGCACCCACCTGGGTGGTGTCTGCAGTGGTGGCAGTGGTGCCACCGGCCAGGTGGTTGGTTGTACCTCGGGTATGGCTGCTCCCTCTACACTGCAACCAAGGGCTCGCCAGGGAGAGCAGAGCTGGTCCCTCTATGTCCATCGTGGCATGGCAGGCTGAAGCTGAGGGACATCCTGATGTCTGCTTGCAAGCCCAAACAAAGCTCCAATGTTTTCACCCCTGTGATGCTTCCATTTACCTTTTATCCAGGAATGATTTTCTTATGTTTTGATTTAACAGGGCTTGAAATATCCAGGATTAAAGAGCCTTGCACCAGACAAGCCAGGTGAAATATTTTTGATGGATTTGAGTGAAGACAATCCCAGAGCAGTGGAACTGAGAATCAGCCGAGGGTTTGATCTAGCATCATTTAACCCTCATGGAATCAGCACCTATGTAGACAGAGGTAAAGCAAGCTTAGGCCAATCTCAGCCTAAAGAGCACAAACAGAAATTCTTTTGCAGCCTTGTGTTGCACCCCTAATAGCCAGTGCTTGCTGGAAGAGAAAAGGTTATTTTGGTCTTTTTATCTTTGTTGGGCTCCTTTCTAAAAGCAAACACCTTTGCAGAGTATCTCAGGCTGAGACAGAAAGGTATCCTATATATTGAAAGGAAAGAAAATATGGGGACAATTTTGAGGAGCTGAAACCCCTTCAAAGTTTATTTTACTAATTTAATATCTGTCTAACCCTGGGGTCAAGGGTTTTGATGAGACATGTGCTTCACTGACTGGTAGTGAGCAGAATGGAGACTTTTGTGGCTCAACAGTAAATTATGAAATCTGTGGAAATTACTAAAATCTCTGGTACTCTGTGGCCTAGCCATGTTCTCCTCTGCAAGACGTTCTGTGGCAGGCTCTGACTACCAATACAATACCCTCATGCTCTCTTTCCTTTCTTTTTCCCTGTCCTTTCACTGAGGAATTTAGCAGGTCGATTAGAAGTTTGCAAATATTAAGAGAAGTAGAGCTGTTGCTGCAGCTTGAACTGTGTCCCCACACGGTCACCCTTGGAGGGAAGGTGCTGGAGAAATCATTGGTGTCTAATTTAGGGCCTTACCAGAAGGGCTGTGTAAAAGAACTGCGACCTTCCACAGAGTAGGAAGGAACCCCCCTTTCTCAGGGGATGCAGCAAATAAACCAAAGAGCCCAAACTGGCTGGGCTACAAGCCCTCCTACCCAGCCCACTCTGATTATTTCACAAAATCAGCCACTACAGTGCATCAGATTGCAAAACCAGGGGCTTGGGCACAAGGATGAAGCCATGATTTCTTTCTTCCTTGCTAAAAATAGCAAAAACATAGTTTACACAGCAGTTCCTTGTAGAGTGAGCCTGGGAGAAGAGTAGCTGGAGATCTGGGTCCAGTTGCAGTGGCACCCTGCATTACTCTGGTACTTCTCTTTTTGCCTCTGAAGACCCATGAGACGAAGGTACCAAACCCAACATGTGCTCTGTACTAGAGGCTGCTTCAGAGCTGTGGGTGCTCAGCCATGCAACCTGTTGCAGATAGTTCAACTGTTTCCTTTTTTTTTTTTTTAAGATGACACTGTGTACCTCTTTGTTGTGAACCATCCGCATCAGAAGAGCACAGTAGAATTGTTTAAATTTGTAGAAGATGACAATTCTCTTGTGCACCTGAAAACCATTCGTCATGACCTTCTGACAAGGTATTGGAGCCAAGTACCATCTTCCCCTTGAAGAACAGGCTGCTTTGGTAAAATCCAAAGTAGGATGATTTTGGGTTTAGGGTATTATTAATATGAGATATTTTCTCTTTAACTGTTTTTCCTGTTCCTTTTATTGATTAGTTCTCATCTTTGTAATCAAAAACTGTGTTTCTTCAGCCTCTTCTGTAAAGGAGATTTTTAATAGCTGTATCACTAAATCAGTCTTAAGCACCACTGTGATTGATGCCAGTGAATTAGCTTGGTGTCCATATTTACTTCTCTCCTGTAACACACTGGCAGGTCATTGCAGGTATGAACCTTCAGATATTCTATTATTCTGAATTTGCTACACTGTAAAAATAAATATATTTTTAGCTTTTTTTTTTTTTAATAAAAAATTTTCTTTGTCTGTCCTGCTGCAAAATGATTGCAAAATAAACAGAACCTGATAGATTAAAGTTGTCACAACTCTTACCTGGTCTCTGGTTCCTGGTTGAATGTAATCAAAAGAGAGAAGAGCTTCTATGGACTTCTGGGCAGGTAGCCGTATCTCTAGCTGATGCCCTGTGGTCTGTTCAGATCTCAGCATTGTGCGGTCCTGGCTTATGTAAAAGAAAATAGAAGTAAAAAAGAATCTAACTCATAGTCTATCTGAAGTACCATCTGTAATTGCAGCCCCTTTATGTCTCTGGCATGACTATATCCTGACTGGATTCTGGGCAGTCCTGCAATGCTTCTTCATACTTCTACTTTCATTCTTTCATTTATTTTTCTCCCTCTCTTTTTATTTTTTTTAGTGTGAATGATATAGTAGCTATGGGACCAGACAGCTTCTATGCTACCAATGACCACTACTTCTATGACTTCATCTTAATGTTCTTGGAGATGTTCTTGGGTTTAACTTGGTCAAATGTTGTTTACTACAGTCCAAAAGAAGTTAAAGAAGTAGCGGCTGGGTTTTATTCCGCCAATGGAATTAACGTTTCGCCTGACAGAAAGTAAGTTTCTCATTGTCTTAGATTTTGCTTTTCACACAAAAGGATCCTGAGGTCCTAATTTACACATGTGATAACTCTGTGGCCAAGTGTCTAAACTGGCTCATGTAAGGCAAGGTGCTACTTGTACAATGTGAGTGATACGGAGGGTTTGTAGGACAGAAATTGTGTGTCTTGGTCTTTAACTAGTGGCAATGTTTGCTGCTTGGCATGGTAGCTTGTGTGCAATAAGACATGAGCGTATTGCTGCATTTTAACTGGCCAGTGTGGAAGTTTGTGTGTATTGCTTGCAAGGATTGACCGGGCAGGATTTCTGCAAGTGGGAAATGCTCTACAGTGTTAAAGTCTGTGTGACTGAATTAAGCAGTCCTGTGATGTAGACAGGTGATCGTAAATTTTTTTTTAAAAAAAGCATATTTTTGTATCTCATGATCCAAGGCCTGGTTCAGTGCTTTAATGAAAGAACTGGAACAGTGTAAAGCTACCTTAGCATCTTAGCAGGCTGGCTTCAGTTCAGTGCCCTGTGGCCTGCTTGTGATGTCTGTTGCTGTATGAGTACTGGGAGCTGGCATTGCCCATGGGAGGAGATGGGCTTGCACAGGAGCCCCTGGGGGGTTTTGGTGTCTGCTTGTTCATACGCATTGCTAAGAGGTGCTTTCTTTTGAAGGTACATCTATGTTGCAGATGTATTTGATCATAGTGTCCATGTTATGGAAAAACATGCCAATTGGAATTTAACCCATGTGAAGGTAAGGTGCTGCTGTTCCATAAGAAAGGGACGTACGTGAATTTTGTATAAATTATTCCCCATGAATGTGTGAGATTTCAAGCTGATCATGTGTGAAGTTCTGGTCTGCATGGCTCCTGCTGTGGGCTTGCAGAAGTGCTGTGCACACTGTTAGCAGAGCGTCAGGTCTTCCACCCTCATACCAGCAGCCAGAGAGGGACCATTGAGCGTGCTCTAGAGCCACAGCTGAAGTCTGGCTTAGTCAGTGTGGGTCAGACCACAAAGCACTGAAGTAATCAGCACAGGCGTGGCTGTGAATGAGCTGATGGGGGAAGCCTGGAGCAGCGAGCAGTTTTCTCATGGCACAGAGGAGGGGATGAAGCATACTGAGGGAAAAGAGAAACAGCACTTGAGGATAAAATACTTCTTAAAAAATCAGTCTTAAGTTATGTCAGATGAGAGTATCGGGCAAGTCTATTGGTTATGTTATAGCTTGCTTCCAGGATTTGTGATAAGCTCTAACTTCTCTCCCTTTCTTGTTTTTCCTCTGTGTTGGGTAGACGCTGCAGCTGGACACTCTGGTTGATAACTTGTCTATTGACCCTCACACTGGAGACATCTGGACAGGCTGTCATCCCAATGGGATGAAGCTGTTCTACAATGATCCTGAAAATCTGCCTGCCTCTGAGGTGCCTTTTGGGAGATGTCACTCGTCTCTTGGCTATGTTTGTGCCAGGAAGTTGCTCTGTTTAAGTAACCCTGATATAACTTGACATTATATAGAGAAGTTCCTGGCCAGCCTTTGTGAGAGCTAAGACCAAGCTGGTTTCCAGCCTATAGCTTCTGCTCACGAGTGGAAAGCGAAACAGCGTACTCACTAACAAGCACCTATTCAGATCCTTAGGAGACAACTGTATAATTGCCACATAGTAGCTCAGTCATTTTGGACTTGTCAGGCTGCTTTCTGTGCAGCTGTGGCCGTGCAATCAGATTTTTATGAACTGTGTTAATTACCAAACCAGCATCACTTTGCCAAACAAAAAATAATTGACTGAGTGCAAAGCACAACCAGAAACGTCCACCCTGGAATGATTTATCTGTGCGACTGTGTTCATCAGTAGGTGACACTGTCGTCCTTCTTTCCTTCTGAAATAGGTGAGGTGCTGTCATCAGCGTGCTAGCAGCCACGAGTGCAGGTGGCTGGTTGGTGTCTGACTGCAGCCTTGTCTGATGGCTCTGCATAAGACACTTTTCAAAACGAGCATGTTCAATAGCAGTACATTTATGGTACGGGGCAGTTGTTTACGCTGTCTGGAAAAAGCACCAAAATAAGAAGATATTGAGTAACTCACAGGCTGGAAAAAACTTCACATTCCTAGTGCTGGGGATGACTGCCTGACTTACTGAGGTGGAGTCTCTGTTGCACAACCACTTAAAAAAATTGTTCCGTCTCCATGGACCATGCTTGACCAAAGCAGAATTTGCGGCCGGATCGCAGGAAATCACTTGGTTGCCGTTATCAGCAGCTGATCAACCTGACTAATTTGTTTAATACACTGATGCTCCCTCTGTCTGTGGGGGATTTTCACCCACGGGCGTTTCAGATGTGTCCCCCTCCTCTGGCAGGTCCTGCGCATCCGGAACATCCTCTCGGAGGAGCCGGCGGTGACTCGTGTCTACGCCGACGACGGCTCCGTGCTGCAGGGCAGCTCCGTGGCAGCCGTCTACGAGGGGAAGCTGCTCATCGGCACCGTCTTCCACAGAGCCCTCTACTGCCAGCTATAGCTCCCCGTGGGTAAGATCTGCCCCAGTGGGAAGCCTTTAGTTCCCTGGGAACTCTGTTTCTGCTAGGTTTGCTAACAACAAGACTGTTCCAATAAAGGCTAACTAGAGTCATGGAAACGCATTTTAGCCTTCCTCTCCAAAATGAAGAGTTTTGTGCTTTAGTAAAGGAAATGGAATTGAAGGTGAGAGATTAGTTCAGTGGTGTAATGGGGAGGATCCGATGTCAGTAGCAGAAGGGTAACGTTGAAGTTCCAAGTGCAGATTACAAGTGACTAAACTGGCAGACATTGAATGATCTGTGGCAACTGGATTTCTCTTTGTTGCTTCTTCCCCAGACAAAACTGATGTAAATGAGACTTCCTAACTACCAGTGTGGTGTGCTTTTTTGTCACCAACCCCTGGGCTTTCCCAGGGACTGTGCTAAGGGTTCTTATTCCCAACTTTTCTCTTGTCTTTCCCTGATTTTTCTGAAATCTGTGGACAGAGAGTAAGTGTTATTTCAGTCTTATTTCTTCCCTCTTCCCCCATATGTGTGCGGCAGGCACCTGCCTCATGTTCATCCAGAGGTATTTACTGATAATGTTATGCACTGCTAAAAGATCTATCCAGGTTTTCATCAGCTAGTGCTTTTAGAATTGTGTTAGTTAGGAATCACTTGCAATAAACTGATTTGTGTGTCCTTTGATGCTGGAAATCAGTTTTGTGCTGCCCAGTGTGCACAGCAAAGATACCAGTCTGGGAGAAGCCCGTTAGAGCCACCACTTGGTTTCCTGCCCATGGAGCAAGCGCCTCTTTCATTAGTGTAGATGTCCTTATCCACAGAGCAGGTCCTGCGCTCTTTTTGTCTGATCACCGCTCTGGTTTTGTGAGACATGCTGACACCCGGCTAAAGGCTCCGTGTTATCAGTGGTGGCTCTCCTGCCAGAGCTGCTGCTGTGCTGCCTGTGCTTGCCTGCACTGGCACTTCTCAGAAGCTTGGCTGCTTCTCTCAATGGTGTCACCAGACAGCCCTGCCTAGGGGCCACTATCCCCTCTGCATCCTTCAGCTGATGTGGTTGCGTTTCCCTGCTGCTGTTCTTCCACCACCGTGCGGACCGGGAAGGCAGACTGCTTGTGAAGTGTGAGCTCAGGAGGACAAAGAGCCACTTGGGTGCAAGTTGCTATTCTGGCTTTGCTGTCCCCTCTTGCAATCCATTGCTTTGAAAACAAAGGAGCACTTTTGCCTACAAGATTGAGCAAAACCTGCTCTGTAGCAGCCTGAACGCTGAGACAGGAGCCAGAGTATGTGGAAACCTTCGTCTGTCTTTGGGTTTTGCAGTTCTTGCTGGGAGGAGGTGTTGCTGCAGGCTAAGGTTTGGGTGAGCAGTGCCTCGAATAGCAAATGTGCGTGCTGTCACCTCCTGCGCCTCTCCTTTCTAAGAGGAACAAGCCTAATGGCTTTCATCTGCTGGTATAAAGGAGTTGCTGCTCCATCTCCGAGGGAAAGGGACAGCTCTCAGCAGAGCAAGGAGTCAGTGCCAGGGCTCCTGGCTGGGGCATTGCTGCATGGGAAGGACTGTGCCATCCCCCTGCCTCCGCACAGCTGCATCTCTCCCCACATCACCTACTGTCCCCGCAGAACAACTGCTCCACCTCGAGCACCTGCACTGCCACTGGCTCGCTGGCACAGACACTGGTGAAGGGCACGCTCCTGGGCACCGAGGTGCAGGGTTTAAGAACTGAACCAGTGTCATGTCAGTTTAGTTGGTGCAGCCTCCCTGATGCTGGCAGCTTCCCACAGCTGCTCTGCCAGAGAACTCTTTCACTCCCATGCAGCAGTAGTGGTTGCTGGTATTTGTGATGTTTTGTATACAAATAGTATGCACTGCAGGGCATCTGGCGATGGCCAGAGGGGGAGACTAGAGCTTTAGAGATCACCACGTGGGTAATTGACCTTGTCTCTTGAGCACAGGCCTTCGTTAGCAAGTCCGTGCACAAACTGTGTTCATAGCTCCTCTCCAAAATGCCCAGTTGTTCTGGGGACTTGAGCATTGTCCAGTGTTTACTGTCTGCCCATGGAGGCTTTTTTGACAGGGGCTCATCTGTTGGGATCACAGTTTCAAGTCCTGCGCTAACCATGGCGTGCAGCCATCCTTTCTGCAGAGCAGAGACAGCCCTGAACAAGGACCGTTTTTGTCGCGTCCCTTTGCTGGACCTGCCTTTGGCATCAGCTGATTGCTTCAAGCACTCAAGAACACGGTTTACCGTAACTCTGGCTTTCCTGCTCCTTCCTTGGCAACTTCTCTCTCTGCAGAACATTTTCGGCTTCTGTGGGAAGTGGCGTGCTTTCCTACAGGAACTTGTAATCCATCTTCAGCCTTGAGGAACAGACGTTGTTCCCAGAGCCCAAGAAGAAAAAACTGCTTTGAGGAAGTTCTGACAATAAGGAGAGGTTGGGCTATTAACTTTTTCGTGATCAGCCATCAATGTCCTGCACTAGGAATTTAAAGTACTTATTTAAGTTTGTGCCACTATTTGTTTTCAAGTAAATTGCCATCTTCTGAAGAATTAGAATTTTGCAGCAGTGGCAGTAGCACAGCCGAAATACCGCGCAGTCGCTCTGCTGGGCCTGGATTTACTGTGGGGTTGTGGCAGAGCCACAGCCACCATTTCCCGCAGCAGTGGGAGAAGTAACCCATCAAAGTGCTCATTCCTTGCTTTCCAATAGCTCAGTGCATCTTCAAGTGAAAAAATCTACATGCTGCTGGATCTTGTCAAACTCCTATTTCTTGTTGGTTTTGGCTTTTCAGAAAATAATGTGTTCAGTTGTCTGTGGCTTTTTCCCCCCCTTTTTAAAACTGTTCCTGTACTGAAGGCTTTCCCAGCTGTCCGACTGCAGACAGAAGCATGTGCAAGCACCGGACCTTATCTTTTCCTCAAATGTTTTAAGAGGAGAGAGATTGTAGGTAGGACTTCGTACCTGCTATTATTGATAGTAATATTTTGAGTGTTAACCCGAGGCAAGGAGGGTTAGAAACCTGTTGCCAGCCTCCTCTAAGGGCATCCCAACCTTGCAGTGCGGAGGTGGGGATTGAAGCTGGGCCACCATGTATTAAAGTGGTGGCAGGCAGGACAAAGACAGCAAGCATGTTTTTTGCAGCAAAAGCAGTGCTGGGGTACAGCTCCTACCCTCAGCCTTAAATCACCACGTGATAAAACTCGCCGTCAGCCTCAGCGCAGAAACAGCAGTGGAGGAAGATGCACTTCAGGCCTGGCCTGCCTCTCAGTTACAACTGCACAGGGAAAATGTGGGCTTGCAACCCAGAGGAGGACAAAACCCACCATTTTTTACAAGCTGTAGAGCCTAGAGCAGCTCTGGGCATTTCAGAAACCAAACAGCAGCTATCTGACACAACCTGCACAACCAACAAGGACACAAGTATAGATGGCTCCAGGCTTAGGAAGCTGCTGAGCAGACACATTTTACATGTCAGTTGTGGACTTACAGCCTCTTAGCATACCTATTTTGATTCAGATAATAATTTTATGGATGGAGGACTTTGAGGATCCTTATCCTCTTGCAGGTGGTGGCCGAATTAGTGTGTGGGAAACACAGACTGGGTTAGACAGATTAAGTGCCGAGTATTTGGCCCAGATTCTTCCAGATGTAAATCCTCTGAAATGACTGCACAAATTGGACACGCTGTGCCCTCAGCTTTTCCCTAATTTAATGCTTTACTAAAATCAAATCAATAAAAACATATTAAACATTCAGCAGAAGAAATGCTGTACTTTGAATGTATAAATTCCCATTATAACTAACGTACACTTAAGTGTAAAACAGTAAAATGTTTTTATATACTAGAACTAATCCAACTCTCTTAGACAAACACTGACCAGCATCAGTGTGAAGGCAACTTATTTTTACATCAACCTGTGGCAAAAGACGGTACGCTACACTTCATCTGCACATGAAGAAAAAAGGTCATTCTCTTTCCTTACTCTTTTTTTTTTTTTTAATTTTTTACGTGATTACAGATTGTAAATGAGATCCACTCAGATGCCTGTGAATCATGCCAATATGGCCAAGCATTGGGATTAGAATAATCTTCAGCACTGAGCAGAAGGAAAGGAAAAACAAGCAGGGCAAGGTCCATTTTCCCCCCTCGCAGTCTGACCCATGTAGCAGCAGCTAACAAGTTGTGCCCACTCTTTATTATTACTTCTGGAATGACCACCAAACAGGCAGGAAAATGAGGAATCGATAAAAATTCTAATAAAGACTCAGGATTTCTCATTTTATTGCATTCATTGTCTAACAACAATAATACTCATTGGCAAGAAAGTTATTTACACTAACAAATTAACTTTAAACCACAAGACTTTGTTGCTTGTATTTAAACTGTAAGAAAACAAAGGGCCACCATGATGTTTTGATGTCTCTCAATAACTGAATGTTAACCAAAGTTATTTGGGGGAAAACTCAACAATCTAGAGAAGTTCATATCAACCAAGCACAAGAGAACAAGCTCAGACGTGGCACTACTGTGTCTTTCATGCAGATGATTGGACACCAAGATGTACAACCCAAAAGTTCAGGATAACATGCACTTCATATACATTTGACCTCTTTCAAAAAAGAGAAGAAAAAGGAAAAAATCTGAAGCGCAACCACCTCTTCAACCATATAAAAAGAAACAATGGAAGAAGCCAATTTTTACATTGAGCACAGTGTGTTTTAGTCTTTTAGCTGCCTGGTCATCTAGCAATATGTCCATCACTTGTCAGTGACCAGTGAGTTACCATTGCAACATGACTGGAAAGTACAAAAGCAGTTGTTCAGACAGTAAATGTATATGAGAAAGTACAGAGTCTGAAAAGGTTCACTGTGCACTCCGCACTTCCAGATGGGCTGGTAACTCTGGTGCCCTGGGATCCCCCTTTCCTTTGGCCGCTTCTGCACCAGGACCCGATCCTGCTTCCACTGGTGTCAGTGACAAAGCTCCCACTGGAAGCCCAGCAGGAGACTCGGGCTCCCAGGTTATGCAGGTCGGACCCCATCTCTTGAGCTGTGAGCTCTCCTCACCTCTCCCTGCTCTGGAAGAAGAAACCCACCAAACTTGGCAGACCAGGT